TGGGATAACCGGGATGGGAGTGTCAGAGACAGTGCGATTGGCACAGGACAGAGCAGAGTTTAGAGCTGTTGTACATAGGGTCGCTATGAGTCGCAAGCGACTCGACAGCACATAACAACAACACAAATATCCTGGGAGACCACTCCTTCTTCTCCCAAGGGACTATTGGTGGACTCACACCATGTGCTTTTGGGTTGACAGTGCAACTCCTTACCCACTAGGCCACAAGAGTTCTTAATTATTTTACTGAGTTACTTGGAAAACTTTTGGAAATTATTTTACCTTTGTGTAACTGTGTTACACTTAGCAAGATATGTAGCACAAAACCAAGAAGCAAAAGCAACCCAGGACTTTAGCAACTTTTTTTTAGCTCGATTAGCTCAGGAATAAACATTTTCAAAATTTCAATATAGTGGTATTTTTCTAAGATGGTAAAATTAGTTTGCATATATTTTCCCTAATGTAAACTATCTCAAAGGTCATAGCTTTCTTGTTTTATTTTGTAATAAAAATTGTCTCTTACCCACACATTTCCTCTGTTGCTCGCTGAATTTGTAGCCTTTGTTACATATGCACGTATACCTCACTGGCAGATTAATGCAGTGTCCAGCTCCACAGATGTCAGGGTTCACAGTACACTCATTGATTTCTTTAAAAAGAAAGAAAATAATGTGGAAAAACAAAGAAGGAAATATTAAAAATTGCACTTCTATTTGTAAACCATTTCTTAGCTACCTGGGTGGCTAGCAAATTATTTCCAGTTGTATAATTATCAGACAAAAGGCGACTTCAGGTATAAATTTGGTTCATCAGTTTCCAACTGGTCAGTTACCCTACAGGGTTGGAAATTGTATGATCATCAATTCTTCACTAACAATTGGAGTACAGCCTCTCAATGTGGCTACCCACTCCAATTTATCTCAGATGATGAAGTTGTAATCACCATGTAATTCCTCCAGATAAGAAATGAACAGAGTAAATGTCTATTTGTTTAGTGGGTGAAATTCATGTTCCAATGAATATGTAGAAGCTCCTCCAAAAATCCTCATTAATTCTTAAGAAAGACCACCTGCTTCTAATCAATGCAAAATGTCTAGAAAATACCCTATTCTTATTTGTTACTATTAACGTATTCTATTTGTACTAGTAAAACAGAGTCTTCTTTCAAATCAGTACAGAATTCTTCCCTGATTGCATAAATCCCCACCAGAGACTTGGTTCTTCTAGAAAGCCTGCTCAGATTAGCCCTGGCTGAGTCTCTACTCCACTCACAGATACACACTGCAGTGCAGTGAGGGCTAAAGGAGTTCTCAGCGGTGGCACCCAGCAAATGAACTAGTGGCCTTTGGAAATGGATTATTCTTTGAAGACATTACGTTTTCATTGTCCTCTTGTAAGGAGGTATACTGGTGTGGTAGAGGCCTCAGAGCCGGCAGAAACAGGCTTGGCAGGGAGACAAATCCTGCTGCCATTTAACTAGCTCTGTAGCATGGAGCTCTGCCTTATTTCACAGGGACTTCAACGGACAATTCAAAGGCTGCACTTCTCTGCCAATTTGAATCTACCAGAGGCTCTGAGGGAGAAAGAGAAACAATCTCCTCCCATATAATTCACAGCCTCTGAAAACCCACTGGAGGGCCAGCTACAAGTCAGTTCTACCCCGACAGCAATGAGTAGCATGCTGCGAGTTACTTAATCAGTGTAAACCTTAGTTTTCTGTAAGTATAAAAGAAAAATACCCAGAGTATAAACTTCAGTGTGTGCCTTTAAAGGAAATAAATAATGCTTTAGTCCAATGCTTTACATAGAGATATACAAGTTAGACATAATATTGCTGTTTTTAATACTGGAGTGATTTAAGAAGATAATAACAAAAACCCTCTGCCTTTTTTATAACTTTAAACTATTATCTTCACATTGTAAACAATGCTTAACAGATATCAGAATTTTTGTAATTTTGTGAGATACATTCAAGTCAGTATATCACACAGGAGTTGATTGTTCATCTTTCTCCTGTGGAGCAAGGAGTGGCTTCGAATTGTGCTCAACCTTTAGGTTGGCAGTGAAACCCCTTACCACTAAACCACCACAGTTCCCTGGATACTGGTATAGGTGAGCCCAAAATAAACCCCATTGCTTAAGAAGACTGCAGGTGTGAACATGACAGGTTGAGAGCACAGCCTTGCTATAGCATTTATGATCTCAATGAGAAGAAAAGCAGGTGCACTACTGTTCCTAATAATCCAATTATGCATTCTGCAGAGAAGAAACAAAAAAAAGGAAATAGTGCTTTAATATAAGAGTTCAAGTGGCACTCCAGAACCAAAACTGCATTCTTCCTAGATTGTTTATTTATTTATTTATTACTGTGCTTCAATCTCAAGGCAGATTAATGGAGTCACTTCAAAAAGTTGGTGGGCTTCAGATGGGAGAATAGGGTGTGCAAAGTTGCAGCTGTATGCACAGAACTGTCTGAAGTATGAAAAAAATATGTGAGGCAATATTCCATTTGTAAATAACTTGCAATTTCTATGAACCTATGTATGTTAATTCAGTATCAGAAAAAATTTCTCTTTCTCTTGTTGCCAAAGACTTAGACCAACTCATAGTCGCTTCTCCTCTGCATTTCCCAGACTGTAAACCACACAGAACGCTGCTCATCTTACTGCTTCAGAGCCCCCTGGTGGAGTCCAACTACAGGTGAGGCATGGCTTTGGGATTAGCAGCACGACTGCCTGCCAACTGCCTCATTGGATCTCCCTAAATGTTATTTTTACTAACCCTAGTACCAAATTATTGAAAAACTTCATTTTTTTTGTATTTTAACAAAGTTTACAGAAAACGTGGATTTCCACTCATTTATTGTTGCACATTTCCCTCCCTACCACCCTACAGTAAGTACACTTTTCTCCTTAAAAATAATCTTTCTTTTTTGCACAATTTCCTCACTCCCTCTACCCCAGTTCACTTTGCTAAACACCTCTTATTCTGGACTGCTGTCATACAAGAAATACCTAATTTCTTTTAAACAGTTCTTTCCCTCATCTGTTTCAATGCAGTGTTCATTATTTATCCCTTCTTTTCTTGGTTTCCTCCCCACCCTCCTGTCAGTCCTGTTCTGTAACATTGGCATTCGTCAGTTATTTGTCCTTCTGTGACTGAGATATTTTACTCAGCATAATGTGCTCTAGGGTTGCCCATTTTGTATAATATTTTAAAACTTTAAAAGGTCAGAAGGAATAAAATAAAGTAGTATGATGGCTTAAATATGAATACCACCAAGAAAATCCAAAGAATTTTAGTATCTACCTCATATGATTTTTTAAATTCTTTTTTCTTCTGAAACTGAGGAGGAGCTGAAGTGCTTGCTACTGAGGGTCAGGCATGGTAGGCTTCAATATGAATTGAGGCTCAATGTCAAGTAGATAAATGTCAAGTAGACCAACTGACAACATCAGGATGGATGGTGAAGAGATTGAGATTGTTCACAGCTTTAGTCTGCTTGGCTCCATAATCAACAGTCTTGGCACCAGTAACCAGGAAATTAAAAGACTTATTGTGATGGGAAAGTCTACTGTTAGGGACCTCTCTAACGTACTGAAAAGCAAAGATGTGTCTCTGGAAACAAATGTGTGTCTGTCTGGTACAGGCCATGGTCTTTCAATCACTTGTTATGCATCAGAGAGCTGGACAATGACCAGGGAGGACAGAAGGAGAACTGATGCTTTTGAGCTTTGGTGCTGGAGAAGAGTGCTGAGGGTACAATGGACTGCTAAGAAAACAAACAGATTCATCTTGGAGAGGGTTAAACCTGGCTGCTCCTTGGAAGCAAGGATTCTGAGACTTTGTCTGCCATAATTTGGTCATGTTGTAAGGAGAAACCAGTCCTTGGAGAAGGGCGTCATGCTTGGGAGGGTGGAGGGCAGGCGCAGGAGGGGCAGGCCCTCTGGGAGGTGGATCGATTCGGTGACTGGGATAATCGGGATGGGTGTGTGGGAGACAATGAGATAAGGACAGAGCAGAGTTTAGGGCTGTTGTACATAGGGTCGCTATGAGTCTCAAACCACCTGATATGATGAGTAATTCTACCCCCATCCTAATGCTGCTGAGTCAGTCCCAATGCATCACTGTTGTCAGGTGCCATCTGCTCAACCATGACTCACAGCCACCCTATGAAGAACTGATTAGAACCTTGCCCTCTCAACCATCATCATGACTCTATCTTCAAATCCATTACTGTAGTCACTGCCAGAGACAACAGCACATCTATTTACATTCTTACTCTTATCCTGTACACTCTAATCCATCTCCTCAATGGTTTCCTTTCTTCTCCTGACCATCTGTCTTTCCCAACACAATGTCTTTTTCCCAGGACTGGCCCCTTTTGACAACATGCCTGAAGGATGTGAGACAAAGTTTCACCATCCTTGCCTCTGAGGAGCACCTTGGATAGATAGATTTGTTTGTTCTTTTGGCAGACCATGGTAGTATGTCTAATACTTTTTGCCAATATTCAAAGGTATCACTTTTTCTTAGGTCTGCTTTATTCATTATACAACTTTCAAATGCATACAAAGCAACTAAAAATACAAATGGCTTGGATCAAGCAGATTTAGGTCCTTAAAATGACAAATACTACATAACACCACTGTTATAAACAGGATTGATATGGGGGTAGAGGGAACTGAGAAAAGAGGGAATAAACAGTGAACAGTGCATTGGAACAAATGAAGGAAATAACTGTTTAAAAGGAATACATAATTAGGCATTATCTGTAGGACAACAATGCAGAATAAGAGGTGCATAGCAAAGGGACTGGGGGGAGGGAGAAAATTATGCAAAAATAAATTTTTTTTAAAAAAAGTGAACTGAGGAGAGGTAAGGAGGGAAATGTGCAATAATGAATGAATGAAAATCCAACTTTTCTGTAAACGTTAGTTAAAATCACAATAAAAAAAGAAAAAAGACAAAAATAAAATGACATACTTGCACTTCAGCACTTTAAAGAAATCCTTTACAGCTGAGTTTTCCAATATAACACGTCTTTTGATTTCTTGACAGCTGATCATGGGTGTTAGGATTGTGGACCCCAGTAAAATTAAACTGCTGACAACTTTAAACTTTTCTCCATCTATCATGATTTTGTCCATAAGTCTTGTGATAAGGATTTTTATTTTCTTGATATTGAGGTGTAATCCATACTGAAGGCTGTAGTCTTTAACCTGCTTCAGTAAGTGCTTCAAATGTTCTTTACTTTCTGCAAGCAAGGTTGTGCCATCTGCATAATACAGGTTGTTGATGATATACGCTGTAGTTATGTGCCATCAAACTGACTGCAATTCAGAACGACCCTATAAACAATAGCTCTGAACTCAGCTCTATCATGAGCCCATCTCCCTATCTCTGACACACCTGCTCCCATTACCATAGTCACTGAGTCAATTCATCTCACCCAGGGTCTTCCTCGCCTGTGCTGACCATCCACCGTTCCAAGCATGATGTCCTTCTCCAACAACTGGTCCCTCCTGGCAACATGCTCAATGTATGTGAGACAGAGCTTTAATATCCTTGTATCCAAAGAGCAACCTCGTTTTATCCTCTCCAGGACAGACTTGTTTGCTCTCTTGGCAGTCCAATACTCTTCTCCAG